CCCCCCTTGGACCCGGCCCCTGGGGTTACAACCTGGGTTCAACCCCAACCCCCAACCCGCCCCTGCGGGGTATGCTCCCAAATGAGCCCTTCATAGTGCCCAAACGATTCTTTTTTTGAAAAAGGAAGATTTTGCTTTTCTCCACAAAGGAAATGTGGTTGGGCACTATGACGGGTTCATTCGGGCATTATTTCGGGCACTAGTTCTGGCTCAAAAACCGTCCCAGTGTTGGATAGTGAAAGATTAAGAAGCTTTTGCGAGCACGATGGCAAGACCAAAGGACAGAAGGCTGGCCAAAAAAGATTCAGCCCTGGCCCCTCTGGAGACCGAAGTTTGCAGCGATTTCGGGCTTTATCGAGGCGGCCCTCAAGTGTACGCTTTGCTTTGCCGTGTGGCGAAATCTTGTAGCGGTGAACGGTGGAGCAACGAAGCAAGGAAAGTTTCTTGGAGCTGGCCAAGAGGACAGCAAATTTGTTGCTCGGGGAGGCTTGACGAGAGCATTGTGTGCGACTTTGTCGTTATCGCCTGCTTTCTGCACGTCATCTCCCGCAAAAAACAAGCTTTTTGGCCCTTTTGAAGCTCCGAAAATGGTCGAAAAAAAAGTGGAGTATGCTTTGCTTTCTTAACGACAAACATATGGACGATCGAGGCTAAACGCTGATGCCGCAATGAATGTGGTCCTTAGACATGCCATGTCTCTCTTGGCAACCGTTCGCGCACTTCACTGAGATGTTGGGATTGGAGCTGCACAGGTATGCCCTTGGAGTTGAGTGGGTCTCAAGTGCAGAAAACAAAATCGATGATATTCAAATCAAACTGGCTGTCATCTGTATACACAAGACTTGGATGGTTGAAAACACGGTTGCTTGCACCAAGATGCCTGGTTGTACGTGCAGCATCATCACGTCTCCCAGTAAGGCCAGCTGTTGTTGTGAAAAAGGTGATTTTGCTTCACATGACGTCTTTGTCTTTGACATCCGTCTGCTTCGAAGTCTTGTGGCGTGCTCAAGTTGATACAAAATTCACTTTTCCCAGATGTTTATGAGGCTGCTATGACCTCAGAGTATTGATTGACTTTGAGTCTGAGGCCTATTATTCATTTTAATCTTACATATTGAAAGTATTGAATTTCAGTATGATTGAAAAGTTGTTAATTCATTGTCATGAAATTAACAACATGGAAAAACTTTGGGTCCGGTACTTTTCTTGTACCTGTCCAGTAAACCTGATTTTGTCTGCATTTAGAGCAACGAATGTAAGTGTTGGTTGCCTAGTATAAACCTCCGAAGAGCTTCGTTTACAGTACCTTTTCAGTACCTGTTAAGTACGTAGTTGATCTCCAGTACTTGAACCCTAATCCTAAACCCTAAAAGCCGTAATCGCTAAACGCTGCTCCCGAATCCTTAAAAACCCTAAACCCTAATCCTTAAATCGTAAATCTTAATTACTGTTTACCAAAGATTCATTAATCATTCATTAGGGTGTAGATTGAGGGTTTAAGATTAGGGTTTAGGGCCGGGGGTTTTAGGGTTTAAGTACTGGAGATAAAGGTTTTGGTAATTAAGAGGTACTGGAGAGGTATCTTTGATAAGGTTTTTCGAAGCATTTGCTAGTGCAATGACTACATGATTGAGACGGCGATTATGTCTTAAATAATAAAATATACGTCATGGCTTGCATGCAAACATTGGGCATGTTGTCAAGGTACAATCGACGTTGGTTTGTTAGTACTTCTGGCATTTTTCAGTGTCCGGTACCGCCGACCCATTTGGTAATTTCAAGTTCTACCGACACAACCTTACCACGTCAGGTGCCTCGTTTGCCTTCCAACTACTTCCCATTTGTCTAGCTAATTTGTTGATTTCCCATCATGAAAAACATCGAAGAGTTTTGAGTTTGGCCGGTACCTGTATTGCACTTGTCCAGTACTTCTGATTTTGTCTCCTTTCAGAGCAACGAGTGTAAGCGTTATTTTCCGAAGAGCTTTGTTTACAGTACCTCTTCAGTACCTCTTAAGTACGTAGTTGTTTGTCTCCAGTACTTAAACCTTAATAAACCCTAAAAGCTAAAGCTTAAACCCTAAAAACGCTAAACCGTAATCGCCGAATCCTTAAACCCTAAACCCTGGCCCTAATCCTTAAACCCACTGTTTACCAAAGATTCATTAATCATTCATTAGTGTTTAGATTCAGGGTTTAAGATTAGGGTTTAGAACGCGAGGCTGCAGGAGCTCCAGTCGCTTTTGGAAATGCGCAGCAATTAGCATGAACAAGTTTGTAAACTACAAGAATTTTCACCTACTTGTGGGAGATTTGCGTATGGATGCCTGAATGTCTTGGATTGCAAAGCTTTGTGGCTTCATATGTTAAGGATTCACTTAGAAAGCGTCATGAACAAAGGTGCACTTTATCACACAGGTGCAGGGACTACACGGCTTGGAGTTTAGGGTCAGCTGATCTGACAGTTTGATCCGGGGTTGCCCTAGACCATAAACGGCATACCTTAAACCGCGGTCTTTTGGGTGATGGTGTGTGCAACGACGTTTATCGTGGCGCTGTGCCTAAAGCCTGCCTGCAACAAATGATTTCAAAACAGCAGTGCTCACAAATTGACGTGGTGTTTTGGAAGTTTGAGAATTGCTAACTTTCAGCACGCATTGTCTTGACAAGCACGGTGCTCCTGATCGAACGAAGTGTTCTGCAAACTCATGGGCAAAGGCTTCAAGTTGACATGCGTAAGTTTTTTGTACGCCTGGCTGAACAATTGGACGTGAACCTTGCCTCATACTCATACTCAAAGCTGTTGCGGGCTGCTTTGCCGTCCCGGCAAGCCGGCACCTGAGCTGCACCAATGCAAATCGGATGCGCAATGCTGTTACAAAAACTGTTTGTGGAAGGCGCACCAAGCTCATGGGTGGTTTCAGGACCACGACTACTGGTAAGGCACGTGGCTGCCTTGACCAGTGATATCGATGTTATTGTTCCGGCACAAAGGGCGAAGGAAGTTCGCGATGGGAGGTCAAAGAAGCCCTCCAGCCATGTTGCTTCATGCCGGCGCAGGCATTCAGATTTCATGGCAGGCCAAAGACAGCGGCAAAGGTCGCAAGGAAAGCGGAAAGCGTGGCGGGTGGAAAGGCAGTGTTCTTCCTGTGAGGTGATGTGTCCTATCACTAGTTGGTGTTCCGAGAGAGAGGTGACGGAAAATGGTGGCCGGATGAGGCTGGACCAAGCTCATGTAGTTCAGCTGACGAATCTGCCAGCTTCTGACCAGGACAAGGGACGGAAGGAAGGAAAGCATGGAAAAGGAAAAAACAAGAAGGCGATCCATTGTACTTGCATGCAGCTGCGCAGTGAGATTTGGTGTGGCCATTTGTTTGTGGAGTTCGCGCCAGGGGGATGAATGGCAAGGTAAAGCACGTGATTGGTCCTCTAGAGATCGTGCAGGTGCGCAGCTGTTTCCTGGTTTTGTCTCGGTCCGGGCTTTCGTGCAGGCAAAGGCGGCGAAGAATCAGGCGGATCAACTTGTTCCATCATTTTGATATTGCGAGCCATGGACATGCGAGGTGAAGCAAAGGAGTCTCGAAGCCAGCTGAGCAGCAATGCGCCCGACTTCCAACCATCTGGTATGTACGACTACGACGCCACGTCCTTGAAGTTATTGGAGCTTGTTGATGCAAGAACAGCTACATGAGCTTCCAGGCTCTCGCTGCGCAATATTGGAGTTGGCAGCCTTTTCTTCAGTGCTTTGCTGAGACTCGGAGACCTGTCGCACCTCTAACCACGGCAGGGACTCGAGTCACTCGTGTCTGTGTCCACAGTTCTGACATAGAGTCAGGCAGCTGTAGAGTTGGTTGTTCACGAGTGCGTGAGGTCATGCGTGAGGTGTGTGATCCTGCCTTGAGTCTTGTAAGCAGGACTTGAGGAGTGCTTGGATGCTAAGGGAGATGCCGCCCTTGTGGAGGGAGTATGCAGACAAGGCGCCTATTGTGGGAGCGAGATGGGTTTTTCGTCTGCACGCCTTGGCCATTCTGTTTCGCATGCGGCTCTTGCACGGTAGAGTGTCCGGATGTTCCAGCTGAAGCTGTGCTGCATACAAAGTCTCCTTAACTGCGCCTCTTCGGCAGTAGGGCGGTATACTTTGGAGCATCTTCTCTTCACCGTGGTGATATCAGCTTTACCTCTCGAAGCCATGTCGATGGCAAGTGGATCCGGCGGTGGCATGATGCAGTCCAACCCTGCAAAGCTGAAAAAAAGCCCATGGCCTAGAACGCAAGAAAGGGTCAATGCCAGATGGCTGTTGATTCGAGCGTCACAGAAGCACCTAGACCTAGGCCACATCGTCTGCACCATGCGGCCACTGCGAGTGTGCATCGAAGAGAATAGCGGTGACATTTCGAGGCTCGTGGCATGTGTAGTCAGTCCGTTGCACAGGCTGTCGCTGCTAGCAGGTGCATCAAAGAGGTGGAGGAGTTCGAACGGACGTGCGACAAACGTCTGGAGTATGACCTAGTCTTAGTAGCTTGCTGTCTGATATCGGCCATACTGTATCATGCATTGTCGTGCCTGTGCTTAAGGTGCATGATCGTGATGGATTGGATGATACGCGAAGTGGCCTCTTCAGTGGCCAGAAGCAGCGCGCAAACTGAGTTGTAAATCTGCCCGCCTGCCAGAAAAAATACAAGAGTTGGAACTGCCAGAAGCTACCGGATGCGGATTGATGCGGTCGGTGAGCATTTGGGCGCTGCCTGGAGGATGGTACCAAGTACTACTACAATGCAAAGACGGGCCTCACGCAGTGTGGCCCTCGGTGCTGTGTAGGCCCCTCGTGAGGCTAGAGCCTCTACGTAGATGCTTCGGCAGGTGGGAGAGACCTGCAGAGTTGGACCCTTCGCCTGCCGCATGGCACTCAGTGGAGGGGAATTCTGTGTCTCGTGAATGAGTCGCATGATGAGTTGCAAGACGAGTCGCATGATCTGTAGACTCATGGAGCTCTTTAAGGACGGCACTGGTGGAAGCACTTCCAGTACAGGCGGTCATGCTCGACACTCATGCTGTGGAAGCACTCCCATAAAGTTGAAAGAGCACATCTTGTCCAGAATCAGGCCAGCAAGAACAAGGACAGTGGTGTCCCTGGGTCGGTTGCTCAGTTCTTTCACGAAGCGGCTCGACCTGCACTCGATGTTGGCGAGGCCCTGGCGGGATCGTGAGAACGACAGGGACCGGATTGTCATGACTTGTCATGAGCGGAGTCAAGAGTCGGGGAGAAGTCTCGCTTGCAGGAAGAGCTGAAGAAGCTGCGAAGCGACGAAGGCCCCAGCCGTAGCCGGCCATAGCCTCCTGGCCTGGAGCTTGCTCCTTTGAGGCAAGGAGGGCAAGGGCAAGCGCGACCGGCGGCAGGGCCCCTGGGCCGTTGTCCGGACCTCGCCATGCTAGCGCACGCGAAGTAAGGAGAGCCGGCAAGTCAGACGCAAACAGCTCCAAGGCTCCAATCTGTTTTCTGCGAGATGCGAGTGTGAGTCTGGGGGTGCGGTGTCGCAAGGAGCCAAGCTTCGGCCCCCCTGGATGCAATCTCTTCGTTTTTCATTTGCCTGACGCCTGGCCCTCAGAAGATTTCAATCTGTGGCCAAGGCCATTCTTTCAGAAACCTCAGGATTGGACTGATGATGACCTGTTAGAGTACTTCGCCCCGCAGGGAATCTCAGATGTGAAGTTGCGAGTGGACGAGGGCTTCCCCTCCCCTCCCCTCCCCTCCCCTCCCCTCCCCTC